CAACAATGATAAGAGAAAATAACGAGGGAAGAGAATACGATATTACACGCCAAAAAACAAGTCCAACCCACAAGACCCTGTGTCCTTCTGGATAACTCCCAGTTACCCCTTATGGACATGACGTGCTGTGGTATGGAATACCTCTTTGGCTAGCTTGGGTCAGGTGTCCTGTCTCTGCTTCCTCCCGCCTTCCCTCCTTCCTGGCAGAGCATGAGACTCACAAAGTCCTTGGTCAGGGTAAACATTACTTAGCAACAACTGAAAACATCGGAGTTATCAGCTCTGCTCCCAGGCTGAAAGTCAAAACACAATGCTGCACCAGCTACTAAGGAGAAAAACTGACTGCTACTGCTGAACCCAGGACACCCAGGCTTTTGAATCTAGTTGCCTTTCCCCTAATGATCAGGTTTTACTCTTCCCACAACTTCAAGATTCAAACACATGCTGGTAGACTAGAAAACAAAGCTCAAGTGGCCAAGAAACACCCATTCAGAACAGGTACTTGTTTTGTAGTACTGAAATGCTGTGCATCTGATACAATGAGACCTTTGTCTCCCTACAGAGTGAAGGCAAGTCCCTGGCAATAACCAGAGGCTATTTGTGGTCTAACACCTAAAGAAGACAGAAATAATAAAAAAAAAAAAACCAAACAAACACCCCCCCCCACCCCCAGCCTGAAATTATTAAAACTTTTAAAGTATAATTTTGCTGAGTATTTTGAATAATTGGGATATGAGAAGCTTACATCTGTAACTACTAGTGGCTAGTAGCTGTATTAGAATTGCTTAAAAAGTCTCATCCACATTCGCTTAGACACAACAAACCCCTATGGATTGCCAACATAAATTAGAGGAACAGTTCTGCCAGCTAAATCCTATTAAGCCACCTAACCTCCCACAGCTTAGAAAAGATGTGGGTACCTAAACATCACTATGAATTTGACAGCAAGTGTCTTTCTGTACAAATGTTTTTAACATGAGCAGTTCAATTAATTAGAACTCTGTATAATGGTACTGGCTTGAAAAATTGTAATTCACTTAATTGTCAGCCTATACTGTATGAGGAATCTACTAACACTGGTGTGTTGTTACATTACAGCTTTGTCTGCTTGGTGGAAATAGATTAAATGTAACCCACGCCTCCAATTGAAAATTTTCCTTTACAACGAAGCATCCAAATCTAGCAGCTTGTTTTCACATGGTATGGAAGCATCCAGTGATGAACTGGATATGGAAGTGTCAGACTTAACATCCAAACGTATCTTAGCTCAATAAAAGGAAATCAAATGTACATATGGCAGAAATGAATGCAAGAAAGCCAAAGAGCACAAAATAATAAAAGCATGTTAGATCAATCCTTGCAAAAAAGAAAAACAAAACCCCAAACAAAAAACCCCAACGCAACCCAAATCAAACAAACAAACAAAAAAAAAAAATCCAAGGAGTTTTTTTAGCATCTTATCCTAAAAGATCCTGGCTTGCAGCATGGAATATGTCTCACTATACAGGGCAGAAACAAAACATTGCTGCTCTGCTGCAGCAATGAAAAGTAAAGGTAAAGTTACCCTCATAAGTTTTTCCTGTTGAAGACAGTGGCCATAAAAGTCGCCACTCTCCAAGAGGTTATCAGCTTGCATGCACACTGCAGACCTTCAGACAGGCTTCAGAACAGCAGCGGAATTCTTGCTCCCTAAAAAAAGACAGTAAAATCAGAGGCAGAGTGGAACTTCCAGAACAAAACAGCATCACAGACATGGAAAAGGTGCAGATCTAAGTATTTAGATACCAGTTATATGGAAATTACATGTATGCCATTTAATTCCTGGTAGATTAGATCTCCTGTAGCTTCAGTGCAGATTTTTTGCAGCAAGCAACATGCAAGACAAGCACTCACATGGCATTGTTCCCTTCTTGTTTGTGTAAGTGGTTTATCTAATAAGCGGTTCATCTAATAAACTGAAATGTTCACCATTTCTTTCAGTAAATACTATTTCTTCTATGATGAAATATTAACACTTTAACAAAGTCTCATACCTACATACATCATTCTAGAAACACTGAAACAAATGAACATAAATCACATAAGCAATTACAAACCTGCCAAATAGAACAAATAAGGTGCAAGATGCTCAAATTCAAACAAGAAAGATATTATTGTTTATTTTCTTCTTGGTAAAGTAGCATATTTCAACCAGGTTACAACGAAATTACCACAGGATATTAAAAAAAAAATACAAGAAAGTATTTAGAAAATTACATATATACATATTTGCTTAAAAATTCTATAATGTAAACATTAGCATAACAAGTTAAAATAATATTACAGTTTATTAATACTTGTGTGAATACTGTACATATATATGCTTCAGAATGAATACTATCTTCCCTAGAGTCTAACAGCAACAACAACAAAAATCTTTTCCCCAACTCAAAAGGGAAATCCGGGTTCTTCAACTGCCAACAGGTTTGGTCCCACATACAAGACAGTTATTTATCTCAGTGTTAAGTAAGGAAGAATGTGCAGCCTTTCAGAGTTGAGAATTTCAACCACATTTACATTTCTATAACTTTTAGCTTCTTAAATGTTTATCACACCACTCAAAAAACCAACTACCACAGTACAACTTCCGTCATGGCATGGACATAATTCTTGAACTCTTGTTAAAGAAACTGATTCCCCCTACATGGAAGTGCAATACATTCATTCCAACGCAACAAAAAAAGTTATTTAAGTCCAGGTATTTGCAGAAATTTGTGAATCTGGAAAATTCATTCCTCTCTAAACATTTCAGTACTTTTTGCTAGTATGAATTCATGCTATCATTAACCAAAACCTAAGCCATTATTATTAATTAGATGTATGCTCTGATTATTTTTAAGAAAGAAACAGCATGAACAATCTAAGTTATTGATAACTGGATCATAAACACAGTTGACGCAGAATAAGAACTAAATGAAATGTACAGTGTCAGACCACTGTGTAGAACAAGTGTTTCATCTTCCAGTCAATATGTGAAATGTAAAGCAGCTTAACTGGCATTTTAAAACATATTCAATATTTCATATATATAATTTCATATATTAGAGCGATACTTTCAATACCTCATGCTAAGAAACTACTGCAATGACTAAATAATCATCAAATTGGTATTGCATGTGATGTAGGGTGCTGACTGAAATATCCTAACCTACAGAAATTGACAGAAATTCCTTACTTTCTGGAGTTAACCTTTTCCAGAAGTGAGACAAGCTCCAATACAGAAGTAGTATTATTGTTTCCACAGAGAAAATTGTGTTCTCATGTTAAACATGTTTATTTTCATACATACTAGAGTTCCAGCTAGAAAAGCACAGTGTTGTAGATTTGCAAGGGTGTATAGGAGCACAATCTGGTGAAATTGTCTTTTTATTTCTTTTAAACAACTGTTCCACAGGCTTTTCATAGTAACTTCAAGCAGGTACCTGTATTCTATCCACAGGCAGAGATTCTGTCCTCAGAATTAAAAAATATTAAATAAAAACATCCTTCAGAGTGGGGAATTTGAGCCTTTGAAATGGCATGAAACTTACAGCAGAACTGAGATCCCTGTGTGCTTTGAAGGAAAAAGAATGACATCCTCATCCAAAAGTACTAATAAGTGATTCTGTTAACAAAATATCACATTTTTACATCATTTATATGTGTGACAGACAGTATCATTAGTTCATTTGGGGTTCACCAAGTCTTAATTTATTATTAGCTTACTGCTCTGAGTCAGTCATCCCCATTTGTTAGTAGGTTCTTATTAATTTGACAGCTACCAGATACTGTTCTATATAATAAAACATTACCTTAACTGTAGGTCATGCTTTTGAGCCAGTAATCTTTAATAGCACCATGCCCTTTCTCTAAATACTTGTATTAATCCAATCATGATGGTTTATACCTGCAGGAGGCTCTGTAAGATAGTATAATTTGATTACAACTATCACATCAACAGTATATTCCATTAAAAAAGTCTGGCTTTGAAGTTATTAATCTTCCTAGAGTATGTGACTTAATGGCTGTATCAGTTTAAGCCTTTATATCTATGTCAATATCCTGCCTCACATAAACCTTGGAAAATTACTGTTGTTATTGAGAAACTTGGTTTAATGCAGGAGCCAAGTTGATACAATCCATTCTCTACAATGAATGACAGACTCTCTAAATAAATGAGATTCTGAAACTCCATAGCCAATACATAATGAATACTGATAAACAATCACATCTGCAAGAGATGTGAGTCTTGCCTGCCTTGTGTTTCTAGGAAACTGTTCATTTTGTATGCAACTGAAGAATGGCATTAAGCTAAAAGTAGTGCCACTTAGTTTTACAATTTATTTTGAATAGTCACTAAGGTTCCAGATGAGCAGCCCCAGAGACCTCATACACCTAAAGATGAAAACAGGAATAAGGAATAAAATGGAAATGATATTACTAATTCCTTTTTGCCGCTACAGCCCGAGGCTTGCAGGAACAATGCCAGGGATTCTCCTGTCCCGAGCCCTCTGGTCTGTGATGACCACAGGCTGGTCAAAGGTGCCAACAAGAACTGGTTGAACCCACCAACTCATGATGCACCAGCCTCTGACCACAGACAAGGGTTTAAAGAGCTGTCAGTCAGTACCAAAGGAAATCAGACTTATACAAAAATCGTTAACTACAGGCATGGAATTAGATAACTGGTAAAATAATTTAAAGGATGGAATCTCTGTTTCGCTTACCAGTATTCTGTAAGAATAATGTAACTAATTTGGTTCTTAAAGTCAGTGGGGCAACCTTCAACAGTCTTGGCTGATTCTAGTAAACAAACAGCAGTGGGATTTGTGACAGGTAAGTACAGTTGCTCTCAAAGACAGGGCTCTGATGTGCTAAAAGATGCTAAAATTTTGGGCATTTGTATCACTGAGTATCTCCTTATAGTCATGCAAGTACCTCACTGAGCTTCAAAATATCAAGTGGAAAAGCTATCTTGTGAGGAAAGACTTTCATTTAATTATTTTCTGAGGTTTAGAGAAACCATAGATGAGCTTGTAAAAGGCTTAGTGATGCACCCATGATGGTATCTTGTAACATAAAGTAAAAGCTGTTTGCAGACTGCAGTCTTAGGAGCTGATACACAATTCCACTAAAGTTAATAAAGAAAGATTTGTACACAGTAAACAAGTTTAGTATTTTTTATGTAATCTACATACATAAATTAAAAACTACCAGAAGTAAGTTAATCAGGAATGAAATAATTTTAAGAGCCAAATGTAGACACAAAAAAATATCCTTCTGAACAACTAAAAAAACAATTTAATTTTTGTGTGTGCTAAATGATTCCCTACCATTGTAGCTTTCTGAATGAGTATTTGAATTTGTGACTTATTTCCTGCAAATTAATACAATTTCATCTGGCAGATACACCACAAAGGTTTCCATGCACTTTTCTTTCAGATTGACTTGCAATTCAGTGTTAATAGATGTGTGTCAGATTTTTACTAATCAAGTGTCTACTTTCTGAAAAATCAATTTAGAATTGTTTCAAAATGGGACCGTCATTAGAGCTACTTTTCTTTCCAAAAAAACCAAAATAAACTATCATCAGTGTATCCAACTGAAGAGTCTGGAGGAGCATTAACTGCCCAGCTACTCCCTCTCCTTTCTTCTGAAATAAATGTCCTGCTGTAGTTTACACAGAACACCAACAGTAACTCATCTTTTAATGAAAACAAACCAGCTGGCTCCCAGGCTGGCCCGTTGGGTTTCCTATAGATCTGTCTCTTTATTTTGTAAATGTGATCTCTTACTGACTGAAAAATATAATTTCATTTCTATGACAGGATTCTTAGTGGTATTCCACCTACTGAAATTTCTGACCTGAAGAGTGAATTCCACTCCTCCCTGCCACAATCTGCTATTCAGTGCAATCTATAAGCTACATATGCAATCATAGGAATCCAGCACTTAGGGTTCATACTCCAGCACCACTGATGCCACTCACTGTGTGTAATGAACCCCTCCTCACTCAAGTGCCACTGAAAAAGTCTGGGCCAGTTACTTGACTAAATAACACGCAAGTGTTACAGGTTTGTAGAACAGAAGTTCCAGTTTGCTAGAACTTTAGTAAAGCACTGAGGCAAACAGTCTGCTAGTAATCATCAGGTTTTTTGTTTTTTTTTTTTTCTGCAGAGTAATGCTAGATTTCAGTATCTACTGACATAAGAATTTAGTGTAATGAATGGATAATAAAATGACGATACATCAATTTAAGTAACATTACCCAAAATAACTTCTAAGAAAGATATTCTTATGCAAGGGAAAACCAGAATACAATTAATAGAAAGTGTGAATGTACACTACTTAAACTTAATGAAGAGAAGAAGATAGCTAACATATAATTAACTGCCTACGGCAGTGCAGCTAATGGATACTGAACTGGATTCCAGTTAATCCATGTCAGGACTTCCATCACTTGTAACAATTCTTGTTAATTTCTTTTTCACTTACTCACAGTAGTACCATTACAAATTACTTTTCAATAAGAGGTGATGGGTAATAGGCACTTTCATTACAGGCAATTTTTAAGTATCACCATGAGAAGGGTTTTACAAAATCAGAGTAAGAATTCCACACTGCTGCGTAAATGATGGGAGTGTTCAGTAACATCTGCAACAAATTAATAATAACATAGACCCCAAGACTTTAAAACACTGTTTTATACCATGCTAATTTTGTGTATCCTTGTGGTGGTTTTTAGAAATCAGTAATATTGCACCCAGCCTTACAGCAAGACTGAAATTTCACTAGAAAATTATTACATTCTGTGATTTTAAAGAATTACTTCCCACAAATGAAAGCTATTGAGGTTATCTAACTACAAATGTACAAAAGCTATTTTCCCAACTGTAACATTTTTCCTTTGTCATCTACTTTGTCAAGTTTTCTAAAAACCTTTCTGTGTGTCAGAGATTTACAGTAAAAAAAAAAACCAGTCTTTCTATTTACAAAAGATAATAAATTAGTGAGGTTCTTTTATGCACATCCTGCTGACATATTAAGTAGTGATAATCATAACTGTTCTAAGGAAAAAAATTGTCTTGACATGATACTCATGTCTCTCTGGTACAGAAAAATGTACATGTAGAAAGGAAGACAACACAATAAAACCAAGGAATTCATAGGAACAGAAGAAATTCAGAAGAACAAAGGGGAATATGTGCAATGCGGCTTTACAAAACAAAGAAAATGCCTCTCAGTTTGCTGAGTTCTCAGGAATAGCCGTCCTATTCTTTTGAGAAAGCGATTCCTGCCTTCCAAAGTAGTTAATCAGGATATGACCCTTAGTAATGAATATCTCTTTTCAGGATTTAAGTTGATGCAGCTGTAGTCTCTTCAGGACCTTAGATTATAAACACAGGCAAGGAAGGAATCACAGGACAACTTTAAGTACATGGTGTCAGTATTCACAGTTACAAGGAAGGGTCAAAGATCACCACTCTGTGGCTCCAGGCTTCGTGGCTCTCTTTGGTGGCTGCGAGACAGTTTGGGAAAGCGCGTAGTCACTCTCGAGCGATTGCTTTTGCTCCCTGATTCTCCAGAAGGTGCAATATCACTAGGAAGACAAGAAATAAAGACAGAAATAGCTAGTTTATGTTATATGTAAATTATTCAGTAGTTATTCCAAACATGTAAAAAGCAGATGTTGTGAGAGCCTGGCAGATGACTGCAAAGTACAGCACACATCTTCAACTACACAGAACTGCATTCTTTCTACTGGTAATTCAAGTGTGAATTACAGAATGGGCTCTTTCAAAAATGAGAACTAGTAGAACTTCCAATACTTTATGAAAGATTGCAAATTACAGGATAAAAGCATATCTCTATGAGTTACAGTTCAGAAATGGTGGGAAAAGCATTCTGAAGTGATAAAAGTACAAGCAAAAAAGACAACAGCTTGGATGATGCTCCACTTCACAATTCTCCAGTTATGGATGGATGTATCATAACATGATGAGGTACATTAGTAATACATCCCTGTTGGGAATTCTTCCATCTCTTCTGACCCACAACACACTGTAGCCTGACATGAATGAGCCTTTTGGAAAAGACTCCAAGAAGTACATTAAGATCAAAAACAAGCAGTAACAGAAAATTCCAGCTTACCTAGGTGATATTCAGAGGCTATAGACTCCTCGGACAACTACAGTATAAAGGGATAGCATTGTACTTTCACCATTCTTGTAGAGGACTCCAGATGGTTTTTAATTATACTGCTTACATATAGATTGATAAATAAAACTGAATTTTAGATTTTGCAGCTGAGCTGGGTAACACCATTACACAGCATACAGAGCCAATCTTATTTTTATATGTAATCCACCCCACCCCCCCAGTCCCCCCCCAAACTCTGGAAATACCTTCAGAACGCATTAACAAATCCATAGGGGAGGAACTGCTCATCTGCTGTTCTTGCCATGTTAAACAAATACAGATACATTTTAAAACAACCACTGAATTTACTCTGTGTAGTTCCCTTCTTTCTGCAGAGTGACCTTCTTCACGGGTCAGAAAGCCCTGCTAAAGCCATAGACACACTCAGGTTCCACTTGGGCAATCCGAACACCCACGTGGGAGAGACCTTAGCAAAGCAGAAGCATTTAACAAGTCCTGAGACCAAGGGGAAAATTCACCTGCAGGAAACAGAGCCCTTCTGCAAGGTAAGGCAGCTGTACCACTGGTAGCCACGAGTTCTTTAACTGCACTGCACACACTGGCTGTTAGTCACAAACAGTAACAGAAAAACAGTACAGAAAAATTGTGTCCAGTTCAGATGCTAAATATTAAGACAAAATAAAACTGTGTGTTTTTAATGGCAGTGGCTTACTTGTCTAAATTTCTGAGCACAACACTCTAAAATAACCTTAGTTAAAAGAAAAAAAGATTTTTCTAAATTAAAATTCACCACATTCCTATTATAGTATTTAGTCTTTCTGGGTAACTAGGAAGTCCTTCACATGAAAAACTGCATCAAATACCTGTGGTATACATCCTTGTCTTCTTTAGTATCAAGATGAACAAGTTAGATCTTTAATTCCTTATTTTTCTTGTCACTAAAAGAAAAAACTAAAAATGTATTTAGTGTGTGTTACTAATACTTGGTAGTGCAGGATAACTGATCTTCCAACCCTGGCCTTATGATTTTTATCTGGAAACTCAGCAAGGCTGGCTAAGTTGCTGTAGAGAATTCTGATCATGTGAATCCAATTTCAGCTGTGCTCATTAGCATGGATTTTTTTAGTAACATGAATATTATTAGTCATTATTTTTATACTATTTATAAAATTGCAGTGATGCAGTGTTGATATTGTAATAGAGCATAAGATACTGCCTTCAGAAGCTTGATTCTGTGTTAAAACATGTATTTTTCAGAACACATAAACATAAAAGCATCTAAATATCAAGTATGCAATGGAATCAAATTAAATTTTCACCTCACTGAGCTTTTCTCAATCTAAAATAGGTTAATTTACAATCATGTTGATACCACTGCTGATAGTACTTTAGCTTTATCAGGCAGACAGGCAGCTCCTTTACAGATGCACATTGCAGAAGAAAGCACAGTGTTATTATTACTATTGAAAGTACATTTTAATACACAAGCTCCTCCTGCTGGCATGTCCTCAACATGACACTAGTGTCACTCACTGGGAAGCCACTTTTCCCTCCTGTAGGAAAAACGCCCAAAGAAAAAATTACCAAAGGTGCAAAATGAATTCCCCTAAAATGAATAGATATGACTTAATATCAGATAAGCATGGCTGAGGTAACAAGATCATCTTAGGATAATTACATGAACACCAGTGCCTGGGAACGAAGGCCAAAAACTAGAAGTAATTCTGCTAATTTAAATGACGCTACTGCAGAATGAGATTATATCTAATAACCAAATTAGAGATAATTTGTCTTAAATGTCTTAGCTGATTTTCATAAGTGCAATCCAAATTCTGAGACAAATCATTATGTTATGTAGGATTAAAGAAACCAACTTAGAGCTGAGGAAATAGATCTTCATGCATTCAGCATGAGAAAGCAAACTGGAGCTGAAATTGAACTGACCAACTTAAATGGAAATAGATGATGTATGGAGAAAAAGGTCTGGAGTATTAAAAAGAAATCATACATTTATAAAAGTGTATTTCTTAAGCCCCTTCCCATCTTCCCTCCTCCAAAACTTGATGAGGAAACTTTCCACCTCACGTGTCTGTTTCAGCTCTAGCTTTTTACACTACAATTAAAATACTGACTTTCAGATAATAGCCAGGAAGTTTAACTATTAAATTTGGGAAAGAAAAGATCCACCCCCAAAATGCATGATAATCAAGCAGGAGGAAAAGATTAATTGCCCATCTCTTCTGCCTCCTGTTACTAGAATTAATAATTTGGTTCTGGGTTTGAGGTCAAATGATACTTACACTCTCTGGCACTAAACACGACACCTTTTTAAACCTCTAGTCTGTTCAACAGGTCAGATATTCCATGAACTATTGGGCAGAGCTAATGAAGACCTTAAAATGATCCTGTCACAATTTCTGGCAAATGCACATGAAGATGAAATTGAGACACTTCTGAATCTATTTTTGCTGATGTGTGTTTGGGTCTGAGGAAGAAGGAACAAGCATACCTACGTGCAGTGTTTGCAAATCCTCTCATTTGTATCATTCAGCAGCAACAGTCTCTAGGCTACTTTTTTGGGAGTTTGAGATAAGGGCTCACCTACAGCTGGCAGTTTTATTTAGATTAAAATACAAATTTAAAATATGTAAATCTAAACCAGGAAGTAGCTATTCTAGATCAACTCCTCCAAATCCCTGTGGTAAGCCCTCACTTTCTCTTTTACACCTCCGAGTTTCACCTGCTCAGTTTTAATGTAACATTCTTAGTTCTTTTACCTTTATAGCCACTTGAAGTCTTCTCAGGGTTTAGTTTTCCTGGCTGAGCCTGGCAGGCAGCCGGATACTTGCTAGGCATTACCATGTTCAGCAGTGGAATGTTCAACTATTCTAAGGCTCAAGTTCTTTTCTACGTTCTCACCTTGTCCCATTCTGAATTAAAAAGCGACCTACTGATGCAATCAATTTCTTCTTCCTTCCAGATCATTGTTTAGCTTTTAAGCATTCCTCATTGATCTGTCCAGTGTTTGTCTGGATACCAATTCAGCTTCATTGATTTTGTCTTGGTGCCAAGTTCTGGCTGAGGTACATCTATAGAAAATAGCTTAAAATAACTGCTCTTTTAAATCAGCTTCATACCTTTCATTTATTGCTTTCTGTATTATCAAAATGTAAACTGCATTTGTCTTTTTCTTTATGCATTTAGCATATGAAACCTCAGTATTCTCTCAGCTGATACTGTGAACATTTAAATTAACAAATTTATTTCCCATCTCATTGTCTTCAGGATAAAATTAGAGAGGAATTTCTCATAAGAATATAACATGTCTGTAACTGGAGATACTTTTGTACCAGCCAGAGATCAGAGAGCAGAAGTAAAAAGCACATCCTGGGAGGATAACAAAGCTCAGGATATTTTTTTTTTTAATATATGTCACATGCAAATGCATCTCTGGAGGCATTCCTGATTCTAGTTTTGCTTCAGTTGTATTAAACATACTTCATTAAGGAAGGCATTAGCTGGCAGATAAATTTCATTTCACTGGTTTCTTGCATTATTAATAGTGCTGTTTGATATGATCATCTATAATTTTTGGACATGACCCCAATATTTAATGTGGTAAAGTGGATTCAGGCAGGCAGCCCCCTCAAAACAATGCCTATACTTATACTAAGAGATTCTTCTTAGACACATGAGAACTAATTCTGACTTGCCAATACAGCAAATCTCAGTACCTTCTTCTGCCAATTAAAATCAGCTAAATTACCTGTTTAGTGGCATTATTAACTACGACTGATTTCATAAAATCTTTTTACATACCCTAGTAACTCCTGCTTTGCAGTGATCTAGCTAAAATCCTTTTTTCCAGCTGCTGAAGTGTAAAAATAATTGGAGCCACAGTTCTGCCATCACTCCCAATTTTGTAGAAATGAAATATAATTATTAATGAGAAACAGCAATCTCCATCTATTAATTCATATGACTGAGTTGGGACATTTAAATAGTTACCTAGTAACAGAAAAAACAGAAAGATATGGGTAAGATAATCCCTCTACATCCCACTCTGACGCTGAAAATCCTGAAGATGCTATTAGAGTAAAGCTGTCAGGTTAAAAAACCAAATAATTTCCTATCATGCTTAGATATGAATTGATCAAGAGATGGAAAGCATTAATTCTAATATTCTATTCAACTATTCAACTAATAGACAACTCCTACTTCCACATGCATATTTGTACAGCACAACACAATATTCAGTAACACATTCAATCTCTTCCTGCTGTAAAATAATTACAAACACAGAATCGTGCTTTCCGTTGTTATAATTTGAATGATCCTAACTTGAATGTTCTCATGCTACAAATCAGTTTCCATACCAGTATGAAAACTTTCTTCATAAGCCTCATCTGCACTGATATTTGAATATTTCTGTAAACCATG